TCAGAAAGGGAACAGGGTTTCCGTCTTCGGCTCCAGCCATCTCCCGGGGGGCCGTGTGAGGTTTCTGACCCAGGAGGCCCACCCACTCCCTTCGAGTCGATTGGGACTCAGAACAACAGGGTGGCAGTGGTGAGATGCCATCGAGTCGTCTCTAGAGCAGAGTAGTGCCAAACCCCGTGCCATCCTGCCTATTGCTAGGGTTGAACTCACTGTAGGGCAGGCTAGAACCACCCCGTGACACCTGAGGCTATTAATCTTTACGAAGCAGAAAATCTCAGCGTCCTCCCTTGGAGTGGCCGGTGTGTTTGACCGACTGACCTTGTGGTTAGCCACTGAATATGTAACCTGCTGCACCACCAGGGCCCCTGGAGTCCAGGAGAAGAGCCTGGGAACACACCTGCTCCAAGCCACGGAATAGCTGCGCAGGGATGTGGGGCCGGGCCCTTCATCAAGGCTGGGGCACCCTCTGGTGGGCCCGGGAGAGCAGCCCACCCCTACTTAATTTGCCCGTGCTTTTCCCCAATCGGGGTTCATTTCACGTGGGCGCTTGGTGCAAAGGTATCCATCAGATGTCTACAATGCAGAAAGCACTCCCCTGGAAGGATCCCTGGTGGGAGAGTGGGTTACGGTTACGAGCCGGCTGGTGGCTGCAAGGCCAGCAGTCTGAACCCACCAGCTACTCCTCAGGGGCCTGGCTGCTCCCACAAGGATTTTTCAGCCTCCTTGGAAACCCAGAGGGGCAGTTCTGCCCTGCCCTGTGGGTTTGCCGTGAGAGTGGACTCCATAGCATGAGTGCTCAGTGGAGTTTAGAAGTCAGTAACTGGGCTACCTGCACCCCACCCCACCCCAGCTTATGCCCACCCCCACCCCTGGCGAGGCGGTAGTTGAGCTGGACTCTGGGGAACCACACACAGATATCTTTCCCTTCCTGGGGAAGTCCCCAACTCAAAGCGTCTGCCTCCCAGAACATGATGGCAGGCCATCCAGTCCCACCCACCTTGTGTCCTGTCCTTTTAGTCTCCTGGACCTGGCTAATCCCCCTGGAGGGACTGGTGAGCACCCCTGCCTGCTCCCTGTCTGAACCCTGTGGTCACTCCCCACTGCTGGCCTGGAGGCCCTCCTACCCACCTGAGTTACAGTCCGAGCCGCTGAGGGAGAGTTCACTGGGAGAACAGGACTGACCTTCCTTGAACATTTTGCAAGGCACTGGATTAAATGTCCTTGGAGTGACCTTGGCACTGGCCTGCAGGGCTTGGGGCCCAGGGCGCCTCGGGGATTCCTCTCTCTTGGGGCCTGCCCTTCTTTCTGAACTTGACCTGTACCCCAAGGATCTGGAGGGCATTTTCCCAAGGAGCTCAGACTAGGACCCTGGAGCAAGGACACTCGTCCACACCAGGACAGGAAAGAGACCCCTGTGTCTGAGATACCCTGTAGTCACAGAGAACCCCATTCTTCACCCTTCCCGAGCTCATGTATCATCGTTCCTCCCTTTCTTGCCCCTACTAGAAAGTGGGAGCCCGGGGGACCTGGTGGTTCCACGTTGGACTGTGAGTGTCAAGGCCAGCAGGTAAAAACCACCAGCGATTGCATGGGACTCCCGTGAAGAGTCTCAAACTCACCGGGCCGGTGCTACCTTGCCCTATAGGATTGATGGATGTGCGTCTGCACTGACTAGGAAGTGGGCTTGGGCTGTCAACTGCCCTGCAATAAGCCGACTGGTCACCAGGGGGCAGCAGGAGGTAGAGGCCATCCCTGACAACTCCCCTACCAGCCATCCCCAGCCCTGCAGCACAATCCTAGAGACACCTTTCCACCCCCCACCCCCCCGCTGCCGTGCCCAGTGCCCCAGTCACAGAAGACACCCCAGAGTGAAGCCACACAAGAACTGGCCGGACACTGGGAGAGTGAGATGAATCCAGAAGGCAGGACGAATCCAAAGACCTTGACCCTTTGCCCTGAGCTGGTGGCCCAGAACCTCCCCTTCTGCTAGGGGG